TTAACCACCAAAAGTTACAATACACACAGTCATGAGGATCCGAATTGCACTGCTTCCAATATTGTGTACGGTATTGAATGTACCCTTGTGGATTGATCTACGTCGGGGAAACTCGACAAAGACTCAATTTTAGAATGAATGATCATCGGTCTAATGTAAATGATCCTAATAACAACAAATTTCTCTATAACATTTCAATCAGCCTGACCATTCTATTGTTTCAATGAAAGTCCGGATTATAGAGAAAATATATCATTCAACAAATGACCCCATATTGAGTACACCATATCGTTTACAAAGAGAAGACTTTTGGATAAGAGAGTTGGGAACAGCCATTCCCTATGGATGCAATGACAAAATTGATGGTGTAGGTATTTTGTCTAGTCCCAGGTGTAGTAATGTCAATACATAACAATTATTTAATACTTCTGCTCGACGAAATAGAAGTCATGGTCACAGAAAATATATACCACCTGCTGTGCACACCGTGACAATTGATAGTCTGTTAACGTCTGTTCAAAAACCTTTAGGAATTCATTATATCAGAACTAAATTATACTCCATTCCATTGTCAAAACTTTTTTTACTATTTCAAGAGGCCCAAAATCCTTCCGTTACTGATTCTCGTTCTGTTTTGTATAGATTAGTTGCAATAATCATGGACATTGCTAACCATAGACTATTCAAACCCGTATCGACTACATCCAAAAATGAGGAAAAACGTAATTTTTTTAAGGTAGAATTCGCCAATAAAGGTTTAGATGCTGTAAATATTAGCAATATTTTCCATCAGAAATCTGTACAAAAAATTATACCTGATTACTTCAAAAATAAAGCTACACCTGTTATTTCTTATACTTACACCAAGTCTATTGCATCCAAGATTTTCAACCACAAGAGAGTTTTGGAGGTCTTTGACCTCAAAGATGTGAAATCCAAGCCTCCGGATTGCTCATGTGCATCGTCACAATACAAGTATAGTCCAGCTGGTCATGTTATTACTGGTGACCTTGGCATCGTTACCAATGAACAACTAAGAGAGTTGTTAGCCAAGGGACCAAAATATAGAATTCCCCAGCCCATCAACTGGAAAAAGAATTTCAAGTTACTGATGGATGCAGTTGAGGACTATGCAAGAAAATGGGTAAAGCGCGAACCAGACGAACCAGAACTGGACACTTCTGAAATGGATGGATCAAAGCTATTCGATCATGCATTCAGAAGCGCATTCAAAACCTACGATGCAATATGAGCACAAGAGTTACTAACCCTTTCAAAAATCCGGATGATGTGGATGCTTTATCCTCTTTGCATGACAAATATGTTGTTGTTCCAGCAGATAAAGCTTCCAATAATATTGTCTTCATATGTAAAAACCATTATTTGCAATGTCTCACAACAGAGCTTGGAATAAATTGAACTACTGGTAACCCTACATATTCTTTAACATCATTTACCAAGGACGAAATTTTACAAACTCACAAATCTGTCCTTCTTTCTTTTGGTATCAACATCAACCAAAAACTACACAAAAATCCATATAAAGAACGATACATAGCTGGGTCATCAAAATGTTCGACTAAACATCTTTCTTAAGTACTGACTACTATTCTTTCTACAGTTAAAGATGGGCTTCAAAAATATTGTGATGAGATATATTCTACCAGTGGTGTTAACCAGATGTGGATTCTCAAAAATTCGAAAGATCTACTGCTTAATCTTCGATCACAATCTTTGCAATTTTGCAGCAACATAAAGACTTTTGATTTTTCTACGCTTTACACTACTATTCCCCATGCTCAGTTGAAAGATCGACTTCACCATCTCATTAAACAGAGCTTTTTGTATAAAAATGGGAATCGTAGATAAAAATTTCTTGTTTTGGGTTACAATTATTCATATTTTGTGAAAAACCACACTGAATCTACCAGAAAATATACTGAAGATGATATTATCAAAATGCTGGACTTTTTGATCGACAATATATTTGTTGAGTTTGGAGGATTTATATTTCAACAGACAGTCGGTATTCCAATGGGAACTAATTGTGCACCCCTACTGGCCGATTTGTTTTTGTACTCGTATGAAGCAGAATTCATTCACAACCTTCCAAAAGACAAAAAGAAAAAGCACCTGGCGAAATTCTTTAATTTTACTTTCCGATATATTGATGATGTTCTATCATTGAATAACCCATATTTCAGCCAATACTTACATCTCATATATCCCAGTGAACTTGAAATTAAGGATACTACTGATACTAGAAGGACTGCTTCATACCTTGATCTTTTCCTCAATATTGACACAGATGAACGACTTCACACGAAAATCTATGATAAATAGGACGATTTCAACTTCCCAATTATCAATTTCCAATTTCTCAGCAATAACATACCCTCTGCCCCTTCGTATGGTGTTTACATATCTTAATTGATACGTTATTCTCGTGCTTGTTCACACTATACGGACTTCATATACAGGAGTGTGCTCCTTACGCAGAAACTGCTCCACCAAATTTATGAGGAGGACAGATTAAAAATGACACTCCGTAAATTTTACGGACACCATCACGAATTGGTTGATCCATACAATGTGTCGTTGTCCAAACTAACTAAGGACATATTTACCACGTGTTAGATTGTGGTTTGTCATTACGTCGTCTGATCCTTTAATTACCGAACGTGACTTATTCCCGATTGTGACTGTTTTGCTGAGTGTGAAACCGCATTGCTATAAGACGTGTCACTGTACTTTTCTATCCCAAATTCATGTATTTTATTTTGATGTTATATTTGTTATTCTCGTCGGATTTTGTCAAATGTCTTAACGTCTTTTCTGTTATATTCGTGTGTTAGGGTAAAGATAATTAATCACCCCCTTCATTTATTAGATGTAAGTTTGGTTCAACGAAATTTATACGATATATTTGGTTTACAGTTTGATTCAGAAGAAACACCGACATAGCTAGATAATACAATTAATTGTCTAATTACTACCACAATTTGATGTTAATAGTATTGTTATTTTCATTGTTATTAATAAATGTAATGTCAGTATTACAAATCTAATCTTGAATCAATCCTAATTCTATATTATTTTTGGGAAATATTTTTACAAATTGAAATGTGACGTCACTTTGTGTGTTTTTTTAGAATTTCAAATGTGACGTCACTTTGTGCGTTGAGGCTTTGGAGCAGGCCCTAACTCGGCTGTGTATTTTTATGTGTTGGATTAAGTTGTTTTATGTAATGTATCCGTTTTTATTCTGTAGTTAGTCCCCACTTCGGTTTTATCATGTATATCTATTATATAGTCATTTTATAAAATTTACTGTTTGCAAAAGTATAAATTATTCTAAATAATAAGGATGTTCTTGTCCCAGGCGCAACTTTTTGGAAGTTTTGGTCCTCGGTGCTCTTCAGCTTTGTACTTGTTTTGGCTTTCAAACTTTTTTCATCTGAGCGTCACTGGTTAGTCTTGTGTGGACGAGACGCACGTCTGGCGTATTAAATTTTAAACCTAGTACCTTTTGTTAGCTATTATTCGTGTGTTTCTTTGTCCTATATGTTCTCCCATTTATTTGTATTGTAGTCATGTCCTGTAATGTTGTCATGTTAATGTTATATTTAACATTGCCATAAAAGCGGGAGGTTTGGCATGCCACAAAACCAGGTTCAACCCATCATTTTTTTTTTAAATGTCCTGTACCAAGTCAGGAAAATGGCCATTGTTACATTATAGTTCGTTTCTGTGTGTGATACATTTTAATGTTGCGATTTTGTTGTGTCGTTGTTCTCCTCTTATATCTGATGCGTTTCCCTCAGTTTTAGTTTGTAACCTGGATTTGTTTTTATCTCTATCGATTTATGAGTTTCGAACAGCGGTATACTACTGTTGCCTTTATTTCGCAATGCAGATTCAGTAGAGATTATTTAAAACTGGCCAATCAGCATCAACTATATCTTTTGGTGGTCGTGTTATCGGAACGAACTTTTAAGGTTGGTTCAAATTGGCCTGGTGGTTTTGGAGGAGATTATGGAAATGTAAATTGGGTATAGACGTACGTTAAGGGATGACAACAGCGTCATGTAGAGCAAATTAGAAAAGACAATTGAGTTGCAATTCGATAACAAATATACAATATTTGTTCGAACATGTAGCGGAACAGAATTAAGACTTGTTTCAATCATTGCTAATGGAATAATGATATTTCAAACGGTATAAGTTCTAAATAAAGTTGCTAGAGCAAATATAAAAATAAACAAAGATAAGTCATTAGATTAAAAAAGAGAAAACATTCTTATTCATTGCCAATAATGTTGCATTGGCAGTTCAAATATGATAACCAAATCAACCAAATCAATCACAATTATTTTCGTGTTGACATGAAATATCATTGGTATGTTAAGTTTCTGTAAATTTACTGCATATTTTGAAAATGTTGAATTATTCGAAAACTAATGTTTCCTACCCCCAACTTTTCTGAATTTTCGGTTTTGAAAACTCTATCACTTCGTAGTTGATTTGGCCTTCCAACTGTTTTAATTTGAGAGCCACTAAAGTGTCATATGTAGTCGAAACGATGAGTCTGGTATCTTTGACGAGTTTTTGCAACAACTGGATTGATGCCACTGTTTGTAGACTAGTTTTCCCCGAGAGGATCACCAGCATAGTAGTCAGCACTTTTGTGTTGACGTGAAATATCATTGATATGTTCATTTTCTTTAAATTCGCTGTATATAAAATGCTGAATCATTCGAAAAACTAAGATTTTTCAACCCCAAGTAAAGATTGCAATAGCCGTATTTGACATAACTTTTCGGAATAATCGGTTTTTAAAGCTTTTCAACTTTGTGTTTTATTTGTCCTTATAACTGTTTTAATACGGGTGGCACTAATGAGTCGTATGAAGTCGGAGTCTGGAGTATAAAATTATAAGCCTGGTATCTTTGATGACTTTTTTAATAATGATAAAATGTAACCAAACAATTGTATCCCCATTAGTCATTATATATTAACAATTACTATTGTTTGACATGAAATGAATTGTGGTGAAACGAATTAAAGGTGCAAATATTCTGAAGTAAGTCATTTTGTGTGAAAATTGAGTTATTGCGTAGATAGTATTTCTTAGTGTTACATGCTTCATTAATGTCCTTCTACAAATGATCATTCATTTCCACGACTATTCCTATTAAGATTCTACTCATTGTATACACATTTTCGTCTTTATTTCATGGTAAATATTTATCTCGTTGTAAAATCCGACGCAACTATCTGGATAAGTTTTTGAATCTTTCTAACCTGAAATAAAAATGATATTATAACAAGCCAAATGACATATCGGAGAACAAATGTATTCTGCGCATTATATGAACATATAAAGACGATTTATTTTTCCCGGGGTTCAGGATGCTCAATCTTAAGTGTTTTACGTTAGAATATTATTTATTAACTATTTTTCGTCTTTTTGTCATTTTCGGTTATCGTGTTGTTTGTTCATTTTCAAAGTGTATTTTTATTACTACGCCATTTGGTAAGAAAAGAAGAATTTTGAAGAAAGAAAAAAAATAAATAAAAGAAGAATGTGTCTGAAGACACGAATGCTCCAGCGCATACTTTTTGAGACATTGCTATTTTTTTTTTAAAATATTTCTATTATTCTAAATTTGTAATTTTCCAAGTTATAGAGGGGCAAAACTCTTGAACAGTAAGTGACTCACTGTCCTAATTAGAACTCTGTCTGCGAGTTCTGGTTTATAGCATTGTGCATTGAGTTTCATAAAATTTGCATGAGGCAAACTTAAATTAGAGTGCAGAAACGAAAAAAAAAAATGCAATTTTCAAAAATTTTCTAAAGGGCACAACTCTAGTAAGGTAAGTGAGGAAACAAAAATGGAACTATGTCAAGGGTAACACTTAATGCCGCCTTCGGCTAGCGGCGGAGGCATAAACACGTTTCGTGTTAAATCATCTTTACGTGAAACCGTTTAGGACTTATAACCGTGATATGACGATTATTATATTTTTATGAGTGCCACTGGAGAAACACCTGCTGTTTACTCTTCCGGATCATCTGAGTTTACGCCAACTTTTTAAATTTGCGGTTTTGTTTTCTTTTACTTAAATTTTCTGTGTTGTTTTATTGTAATATCTTACTTTTCTTCAATGGCTTATTTGTTTTGGTCGGTCATTGTCTTGTATGAAGAAATCCTTGTATCTTTATTTTAAATACTAGTATGAAACGACGTCTTTTGTCTCACTATAAGAGATTACCAAATTCATAATACATCGGAACATATAAATTATCTGCCAATGTTAAAAGTAACACAACAAATCCATTGACATTTTGTTAAAAGGGTTAACTTTTGGTTTTTACAAAGACGCTTCAAAACGATCAAACTATTACCCGAGAGGTGAGCATCTAGGATACTGATGTATAAATGTTCGTAAAGGGAAGGTAAAGGTACATTGTCTGATCATTTACACAGCCGGGTTTTCGGATAGCTATGTCATTAATGCTAATATAAGAGATAATGGTCAGTCTCAGATAGTATCACTAGCTCGGTAGTTAGTTCCCTTGTACAGGAATAATATCACTTATACATCGAGAAATTTTCTGTTGACAAAGATATGTCATTTTCTTTTTTATATTCCAGTGATATACGATTCACTAAATTAAAGTCAATATCATTTTTACTGAAAATTATGAAAATAGATTTCAAAACTTATAGAAGACGGCAAGGAAATGAACATGCACAAACCTGGGACTTTTAAAGCTTACTTTACGGCATCGGTTTTGTCATTGTTGAAGGACCGACGGTGTCCTATAGTTGTTTACATATTAATACTTTGGTCTCTTGTGAATAATGGTCTTAGTGGCAAAGGCATACCACATCTCCTGATTTTTACATACGAGTATAGTTAAGTTAAAGTCTTTTGCTTTGCGTACGTATGAAGGTGTAAGAAACATCATAAGCTGTGTGGTTCAGAATTTATCAGAACTATCAAAGAAGCTATTCCAAGAGTTTTTCTACGTATTTTTTTTTTTTTTTTTCTAAAAATATATAGATCGGAAGGGAGGTAATAAGACATTTAGAACATACCTAATTGTGTTTAGTGGTGCCTTTAGGTACTTTAAATAAAGGAAGAGAAATATGGTCCATATTCTTTGGATAAGCTATTATCTGCTGTTTATGTTCAAACTGAGTCCCAGGATTTGCAACTCCGGAATAATTCTCATTTGGAACAAATCCGTGTTTAAAATCAGCTATTGCCATACCTTTATTTCCTCCTATTCGATTCCACAGGTCGCCACGGTTTGTTCCTTGTATGAAATGTGCCATTTGTTTTTGAGCTACAAGTTTGGGTATTGGTTTAAGCTGTCCTCCACCCACCGAATCTTTCCAAAATTTCCGCATGTCAACTGACCCTCCGAATCCTTGATTCGCATCTGTGGCCCCTTTGAAAGAAAACTGAGCTGGGCTTTGACCAACCATGCTCTGTTTTCCTGGTCCAAAACCACCGTGTGAGAAGTCTGATCTATCAAGATCATTGTTTTTAAATGAAAAGAACCTACCATTTTGTCCACCTTTGTGAAAGTCTGGTGGAGATGATTTTGACAGAGGATGCTGTTGTTTTACGACTATATTTAAGTTTACATCTTTAGACTTTTTTCCAGACGAAGGATCAAATCCTCCATGTGTACCGATCATAGACTGGCCTTTAGTTCTTGACACGGTGTCAAAGTTTCTATCTTCAGTTTTCCCATGACCACCATGTGCATTTATTTTACCAGAACTGTCTAATCCAATCAAAACGATCGATGGTTGCTGGCCTCTGCCTTTAAAACTTTGAAGGCTTGAAATAATGTTAGCTATGTTTTGATGATTAACAACGTTATTACTCATCTTTAAATCCCGAAGATAATTTTCCAAAGCTACTCTATCGTGTCTACCTGCTGCAATTATTGCAGACAAAACAGCATTCATATTAATGTTAGCATGTGTAGATCCACTACCACCACGATCTGCTCCTTTAGTCGAAGATAAATCACTAAGAACCAAATTATTCAATAAAGAATTAGCCATTGAAATGCCCGACGAAGCACTGCTTGGTCCAACAAAATTTGAATCAGGAAATGGCATTGGTTTCCCAGAAAAAAACGGTTTTCTTGGTCCAAAGCCTTTCCGCCAACCTCTTCTGACACCAGTCCATCCACCAGCCCCAGTTGCACCACCAGTCCATCCTCCGGTACCAGCTTTAGCACCAGTCCATCCTCCGCCGCCAGCTCCACTACCAGCACCACCATGTACACCACCAATCCATCCTCCGCCCGCTGTTCCACCACCAGTCCAACCTCCACCTCCAGCTCCACCACCTCCACCCCCTGCAGCACCACCAGTCCATCCTCCGCCCCCTGTTCCACCACCAGTTGCACCACCAGTCCAACCTCCACCTCCACCTCCAGCTCCACCACTTCCTCCCCCAGCACCACCAACAGTCCATCCTCCGCCTCCGGCTCCACCACCTCCACCCCCTGCAGCACCACCAGTCCATCCTCCGCCCCCTGTTCCACCACCGGTCCATTTTCCACCACCAGTTGCACCACCAGTCCAACTTCCACCACCAGCTCCACCCCCTCCGCCCCCAGCACCACTACCACTCCAAACTCCGCCTCCAGCTCCGCCTCCCGCAATACCACCAGTCCATCCTCCGCCTCCAGCTCCACCCCCTGCAGCACCACCAGTCCATCCTCCACCACCAGCAGCACCACCAGACCATCCTCCACCACCAACTGCGCTACCGGATAATCCTCCGCCAACAGAACTACCGGCGGATGCCGAAGCTCCACTTGAAGCACCTCCTATTCCTAAAGAACTTGAAGCAATGTCTATCCCCGAAGAACTTTTTCCAGAATTCGCAGAATGCATTAATGCTAGTAATGCAATATTTTCTATTCCCATATCCGCCATTGAGGCTGTTAAGAAGGACCCACTGAAAGGATTTCCACCTTGTCCTCCGAAGCTCTTTGCGTCGGCTCCAAACATTTGTTCCCATAAACTAGACCCTGATCCTCCTCCTCCTCCTCCTCCACCACCACCACCACCACCACCTCCTCCTCCTCCTCCTCCTCCTCCACCTCCTCCGCCGCCGCCACCTCCACCGCCTCCATCAGCTGATAATAAAGCTTTAAAAATCGCAGTGTCTAAACCATTATTTTCTTCATCTCCTAAGACACTTTTCAGAAGGAAAAAGGAAAGGAGAGCTACTATCCCATGCATCTTCTGAAACATAAATGATTTGTTCTGTGATGAAACTTGCAAAATAGCTTGTGTGTTTATTGTTTTTGCAATTGCATAGCAATGGAGGATAATACTTTTAAAATTATATTTTCGCGCAAATTTGTAAAAAAAAAGTGCATATTTAGTACTTGCTGTTACATGGCTAACATTTTTGTACACAATTTTAGATTATCACAATTAAATGATTTAGATATATTGACCTCCCTCTAGTTATTTAAATATTCCCATCCTTCTAGTGATTTAAACATCTCTCTAGTGATTTTAACATCCCCATCCCTCTGGTGATTTAAATATCCCCATCCTTCTAGTGATTTAAACATCTCTCTAGTGATTTAAACATCTCTCTAGTGATTTTAACATCCCCATCCCTCTAGTGATTTAAATATTCCCATCCTTCAAGTGATTTAAACATCTCTCTAGTGATTTTAACACCCTTCTAGTGATTTAAACATCCCCCATCCCTCTAGTGATTTAAACATAAGTAAAACCAATTACTTCCAAATCTTTTATTCGAAGATACAATTAAATAATGCGTTTTACAAGTACCCGACCTTTTGTACCATATTGCCAATATGGGCATGACCTGATTTTACCTACCTTTCACTTACGAAAAAAATTAGACTTGGTAACAAAGAACAATGTAGTTTCCAATGCCTTTTCAATTCAAGTTGATAACAATTTTCATATAGTTAATTACGTACCTGCCAAGGACTGTCACCACACAATATACAAATGCAAGTGTTTACAAAAAGGAATAATAGATCCAAAAGACCAACTGAACAGCGATGTAAAATTGTCAATCGTATCAAAGGAAAAAATACAGAGAGAACATCAATGAAAATGTCAATTTTAGATTTCCTTAAAAAAATGACTCATTAAATCTGCCATATCAAATTAAGCATACCTAGTAACCATCAGATTTCCTTCTTGACCTTCTGCTATGAATGTCAATTTATCAAGTTCTTACTTTTATCAGTCCATTTGTGATATATTTTTTCCCGGACATAACCCATGTTGTACAATGCTGGCTTTCTAATATTACATGTTTTCACGTACAGACAGGTAATGAACATTTCATGTCTAATTAGCTGTATAAGACAAAAGAAACATGTTTCGTTGTTGTTTTTATTTATTGTTTGTATATTTAAAGGATGAAAACAACATTTCCGATCAGATTTCATGTCTTGAAAACATACAATTCATTTTTACATGATTTTGTGGAAGGTGAATTCGGTTTATAATTTATTACATTATCTATTAATAATTCATTCATTCACTACTTTAATTGCCATATTTTCGTGAACGTTAAAAAATATACTAAAATACAGAACTTCAAGGTAAATTCAAAAGGGGGAAGTCCATAAAAACTAATTCGATAAAACGTTAGACTTTATCAACCAACAGAACGGATGGTATTATATGGTCATATTCCTGACTTGGTACAGTCAATAAAGATATTTTAAACAATGTGTATCTATGATATTACTAATTTTTTTTTACAGTATACAAAATAAAACGTAGAAAACAGTGACTAAAGACTCAACAACACAAACCCAACCTAAAACAGGGGGATCTCAGGTGCTCCGGAAGGGAATAAATAAGCAACAATTACATTGGCGTTGTTTTCATATTTCAAGATACACCTATATTACCCACGGTCTTCATTCAGTTATACTGAGATATGAATATATATGACGGCGGTCAAGTATTGCGTGAAGGCAATTAAATTCTATTCAACTTCAAAAGCTGTGAAAAATCCGTAGTATCAATAAAAGGCGGAACACGGATCTGAAATGGGTTTGTCAAATTGGTTATAAAAATGTGTATGTAAAAATTATCAGTATTGCTTAATAATTTTGCACACACGAGAGAAAACCAGTTTGTTCAAGACTGAAACATAAAAAGCTACACATCTCCCTCTAAAAATTGACAAAGGCAACAAAGGTTTTGGAATGTATGTTGGTTATTCCAAGTCATCATATCATATTTGAAACTAAATCATTTGTGCATTATGTAGTCTAGTGAAATTCAATTGTTTTTTTTTCTGGAATTTCTAAAAGTTTTAGTTATTTGATAAAAAGTGAGATTTTATTAATTTTAAACAATAATTGCTCGTGACAAATCAGGCACCGTATAACATTGATTGTGATGGTAAGACATTCAATGAGTGGTCAGGCTGAATCATCTCTTTCACTAATTGTATACTTTTAATTAATATTAGTGCCTAGTTACTTAAAAAAAACGTATGTATTAACAAAAAAAAAAAAAAAAACGAACTCCAAGGTAAATTTAAAAAGGGTGAAGTCCATAAAACCCGACAAAAACAAACGCTCGTCTATATCAGCCAACGGAACAACACAACTGTCATACTCGTGGTTTGGTACAGGCATTTTCCGAAAAAAAAATGTGGGTTAAACCTGGTTTTAGAGCTAGCTTCATCTCTCTATTCCTGTACCAAGTGAGGAATATGGCAGTTGTTTTTCACTTGTTCCTTGATTGATAGAATTTGATTTTGTCAGTTTTTATGGACTTCCCCTTTTTTTAATTTTCCTTGGGGATCAGTATTTCTATTTTACTTTTCCCCCACTTGTACGACAGTTGTTTATAGTTCCGTTAGATTGACAAAATTGTGTAAGCAATCCAAAGAGACATAATTGGTTATTGTGACAATAATTGGGAACAGCGGCAAAAATAAACATACATCATAGATATACAACACAACTGACTTGAAATTTGGAGATGGAATCTACGTTTCTAATTGTTTTATCAATTTTATTTCATTGTCTTATTCCGTGACAAATATATCTCTGTATTCCGACATTTACTAAACCTTTAGTCTGGTTTTCATTTTAGGTATCTCGGACAAAAAACATTGACATTTTTCAAACTTACAAGCTTAAGTTATTCGAAATCGATAGTAAACATGATAAGCAGCACCTATTTTGGTACATAAATACTGCACTGCATTAATACAGTGAAAAGTTCAGAACAGTAAGTAAGCTCAGGTGCTCCGTAAGCGTACATAATGCCTGTGCTGCCGTAACAGTGAAAAACTAAATCTAATAGTGATATCATGTGCTCCATTAAGTAACACAACTCCTGTACTGCAATGCAACAGTAAAAACTAAATCTAATAGTGATATCATGTGCTCCATTAGGGAACACAACTCCTGCATTTCAATACATCAATGAAAACTTAATCTTGTAGTGATATCATGTGCTCCATTAGGGAACACAACTCCTGCACTGCAATACAAAAGTGAAAACTAAATCTTGTAGTGATATCATGTGCTCCATTAGGAAACACAACACCTGCACTACAATACAACAGTGAAAACTAAAAATACTAGTGATATCATGTGCTTCATTAGGGAAGACAAATCCTGTACTCCAATACAACAGTGAAAACTAAATCTAATAGTGATATCATCATGTGCTCCATTAGGGAACACAACTCCTGCACTGCATTACAAGTGAAAACTAAATCTAATAGTGATATCATATTCTCCATTAGGGAACACAACTCCTGCACTGTATTACAAATGAAAACTAAATCTTGTAGTGATATCATGTGCTCCATTAGGGAACACAACTCATGTGTTGCAATACAACAGTGAACACTAAATCTAATAGTGTTATCATCATGTGCTCCATTAGGGAACACAACTCCTGTACTGCAATACAACAGTGAACACTAAATTTTATAGTGATATCATATGCTCCATTAGGGAACACAACTCCTTCACTGCAATACAACAGTGAACACTAAATTTTATAGTGATATCATATGCTCCATTAGGGAACACAACTCCTTCACTGCAATACAACAGTGAAAACTAAATCTTGTAGTTATAGCATGTGATTCATTAGGGAACACAACTCCTGTACTGCATTACGACAGTGAACAGTATTGTGTGAAATCAGGTTCTTCCTAGTGGTACACAATTCATGTACTCATTACAACAGTAATAAGTAGCTGCCTGGTAGTTAAATCAGGTGTTTCGTAAATGCACATAACTCTTGCAGTCATTTTGTTGGATTCGATTTGGCCTTCCAAGATCTTCCAACTGTTCTGATTCTAGTACCACTGGTCACGAAACAAACTCGCATCTGGAATACTAAATTTTACGCATGGAATCTTTGATGAGTTTTTAAAGCCACTGGTTCGATTCCACTTATCACCAATGGTATCACCACCCCAGAAGTCATAAACTATCTTCACAGTGATATGTTTATTTTCTATAAATTTACTGTTTATATAATGTTGAACTTTTCAAAACACTAAGGGTTTTCTATCCATAGGTATAGATTGCCTGAGCTACAATTACACATTTTTTTTTTCCAAGTTTTTCGGTTTTTATCTTATTAATGCTCTCCAAGTTGTCATGTGATTTTGGCTTACAAGTGTTTAGATTTGTGCGCCACTGATGAGTCTTGTGTTTGTGCTCCACTGGTGAGTCTTCGACTTGTGTTTGTGCGCCACTGATGAGTCTTGTGTTTGTGCGCCACTGATGAGTCTTGTGTTTGAGCCCCACTGATGAGTCTTGTGTTTGTGCCCCACTGATGAGTCTTGTGTTTTGAGCCCCACTGATGAGTCTTGTGTTTGTGCCCCACTGACGAGTCTTGTGTTTGTGCGCCACTGATGAGTCTTGTGTTTGTGCCCCACTGAT